CAATCCTTGCTAACTAGCGTTAGTGAAGCGGCCAGATGGATCTTTCTGCCTCCACCTAAGCTCCGCCCACAAAAAAACGTCACCATGTTTACCAACTCTAAAAGGGTCTATTAAACATTGTAGAAATTTTAAAATACTGCTGATTTCTTACAAAGCACTAAATGGTTTAGCAATTGCGATCAAAAAAGTCCGGCTAGTTGATAATATCATAAATATCTGGAATATCAAAATCGACTGCTGGTGGTAGATCCTTTTCCCATTTAGCACCTAAACTTTGAAACAGTCTTCCTACCATTGCCCAGTTTAAATACCAAAAACACATCTCTTTGACCAAGCATACACATACACTCACCTAAAGGATTATTAGGAACACCTGTTCAGTTTCTCATTAATGCAATTATCTAATCAACCAATCACATGGCAGTTGCTTCAATGTATTTAGGGGTGTGGTCCTGGTCAAGACAATCTCCTGAACTCCAAACTGAATGTCAGAATGGGAAAGAAAGGTGATTTAAGCGATTTTGAGCGTGGCTTGGTTGTTGGTGCCAGACGGGCCGGTCTGAGTATTTCACAATCTGCTCAGTGACTGGGATTTTCACACACAACCACTTCTAGGGTTTACAAAAAATGGTGTGAAAAGGGAAAAACATCCAGTATGGGGCAGTCCTGTGGGCGAAAATGCCTTGTTGATGCTAGAGGTCAGAGGAGAATGGGCCGACTGATTCAAGCTGATAGAAGAGCAACTTTGACTGAAATAACCACTCGTTACAACCGAGGTATGCAGCAAAGCATTTGTGAAGCCACAACACACACAACCTTGAGGCGGATGGGCTACAACAGCAGAAGACCCCACCGGGTACCACTCATCTCCACTACAAATAGGAAAAAGAGGCGACAATTTGCAAGAGCTCAACGAAAATTGGACAGTTGAAGACTGGAAAAATGTTGCCTGGTCTGATGAGTCTCGATTTCTGTTGAGCCATTCAGATGGTAGAGTCAGAATTTGGCGTAAACAGAATGAGAACATGGATCCATCATGCCTTGTTCCCAATGTGCAGGCTGGTGGTGGTGGTGTAATTGTGTGGGGGATGTTTTCTTGGCACACTTTAGGCCCCTTAGTGCCAATTGGGCATCGTTTAAATGCCACGGCCTACCTGAGCATTGTTTCTGACCATGTCCATCCCTTTATGGCCACCATGTCCCCATCCTCTGATGGCTACTTCCAGCAGGATAATGCACCATGTCACAAAGCTCAAATCATTTCAAACTGGTTTCTTGAACATGACAATGAGTTCACTGTACTAAAATGGTCCCCACAGCCACCAGATCTCAACCCAATAGAGCATTTTTGGGATGTGGTGGAACGGGAGCTTCGTGCCCTGGATATGCATCCTTAAAGGCCTCCTTTACCTCTGGTCAGATAAAATGTTGTCAAAATGATTCCAGTTCACATTTATACGTGGAAGCAACAAAAAATTCTGTATTATGAATTTTTAAGGCCAGACAAGTAATTTGTTGAGGGTCAATTTGTAAAGAAAGACTACACGCCTGCACATATATATTCAAATTCGCATACCTATAGACTGAACATGTAATTTGCATGTGCACAGTGTCAACGTTTTCACAGATTCACATTTTTGAAGCTTACACAGAGATAATTTTTTTTTTTTTTTAAATGCCAACGCTTGCCGCCTGGGAATCTATTTCAAGGTTTGCGTTCTCGAGCCAACAGGCACTGTTGTTATGCAAAATGAGCGGTCAGAGCGCAGTACGGTCTGGTGTAAGCAGCCCCCAAGTTAATGCCTAATGATCTTTGCAACGAAAGTGAATCAATCAAAACTTAACTTATTCTAGCTGTTGTAAAGCCAAAACAATTCCCCCAAAGCTCTGCTAGGATATACAATTGTGAGTTGTCAGCTCTTTGTGAGCCTCCTTGCAAGATATCCTGAGTGTGGGGCGTTGTAAGGTCTCCTCTCAATTTAGAGTTGTCGTGCTAAAGGCTCTCTGTGAGCCTCCTTGGCTACTGCGATCATTGTCAGGCCTTCTCTCATTAAAGATAGTTATATTTAGAGCGATAGCGATTGCGAGTGGAAAAAAATTAAAAACATGTTCATTCATAATAGAAGAGGTGTATTCAAGTATCCATAAATATCATTATATGTATTAATTCATAAGGAATACATCTGTATATAATGTGCCCATTGTGAATTCTCCAAACCAATTGAGGATGAGTGACCTAAGTGCTGATCTGTGATGTCATTTTGTGAAGAGAGCAATTTACAAATTGGCTGAACATTCGTGGTACTTGAAAAAAAAAAATAGAAAAGGAAGGACAATCCTCTTTATCTCTCTCAGTGTAGGGTCCAAGTGAGCTGTAGGTGGTGAAGGGAAACCATGGAGTATCCATTTCCACACACCATATGGAAACTCAGTGGTTTGTACAGAGGAGGTGGGAGCTAATATTGACCTGGACCATATGTGTTTTAGTGAATTACAAACACAAAAGGGCCTAGTGGACACCGAACACACAACATCTATTCTCTGTTAGGGGATTTTACAAACTAGACCCCCCCCCCCCACACACACACACACACACACACACATATATGCGTGTACGCCGTCCGAGATCTCAAGGGACTCTTCTTTTGAATTACTCTATTGACACACACCCTAGTTAGCTTCATTAGCGAGAGCTAGTGTTAGCTCACAGTATGAGGGCCATCACTGCTGTTTTCTCCCCTAAAAACCAATTATCATTTGTGACTGCACAGTAACTTCAGCTCGGCATCACTGATCATATCTGTGAGCTGGATTTTCTGACAGCGTTAAGGAACATTATATTGTATACTAATGGGAAATTCTTTTGCGATCCTTATTTATCTCTTTGGTTTGAAATTCCTTTTTGTGATGCTTTTTTTAATCTTCCCCTTTGTTCTTCATTGTTTTAACATGGGTGGTTTTAAAGGTGCAATACCTAAGATTTTTGCATTAAAATATACCAAAATCACAAGGCCAGTGTTATATATTTAGTTAAGATAATAACTTACAATATTCCAAATGTTTCAATCAATGTTTAAATCGCGAGAAAATTGAGATTTTAACTAAGGAAACGGGGCGTATGAGCAGGGGTGAGTCATATCCGCGTCATATCCGCTTACCTCGGTTTCCGCTTGTACTACGTGTAGTCTTGGAAAAATGCGGTAGTTGTAGTTGTGCGTTAGCGTCAGCTTGTTTTGCGCATTTGTTATGGAATGGAGCACAATTATTTTCATTTATTCTCGGAATGTGAACTGTTGAACATGTGGATCTCGGAATGTGAACACACCGGACGAGAAGCGCCGCGCCACGTTTAGGACAACTCCACAGTAACGTTATCGAACACCGGACGCGCACTTTCTCATCAGTGTTTGGCCAGCAATATTGTTCTGTTTAATGACAGGAAATGAAGATAATGTCTGTTCTATGTTATGATTGTACTGTACAATTAAATACAATCTAATTGTATTTGTCTGCATGATGAAAACTTTACCTCAGATCATCCGTTAACTGAATTAATTGAGAATCATCTGAAAAATCTAATAACATCAAAATTGTCATTCAAGCAGCTGATTTCTGTAAATAAATGCATATTAAAGCATAGGGCGAAGTCAGGATCCATTAGCAACGATTTGAGACAAAAATAATACAAAATTTATACAAAACTATGTAAATGGCGCTCTGTGGCGCAGCAGGATTTTGAACACGGTACTGAGGCGTTGCTGGGCGCCGCGGACAGACGCTGAATGGTGCCGCCGGTATGTGTACACTTATAGATAATTATGTGTTCGAATTTTAAATATGTGGCACGGCGGTGTGCGACCTTCTTAACGTTAATTTTGTGAAACTGTAGCTTTGGTCGAATACTTACACGACATGAAAAGATGTGTCAAATGTACATGATTTTTTTATTTTTATAAAGTTACCAAAAAGGAGGACCAGCCACGTCAACTCCTTGCAAGAGACCTGCCCCTTCAAACCCTCTCCACCATAGCTTCGTCCAGTGACTCGTACAGTAACATCTGTGATAACTAATTTACTTTTAAACCTGACTTCTCTTGCGGTTATTTCAGTTTAAGGAAAAACAAGCATGTAAACGCAACATTTATAGAAATCGAACTTTACCTCATCCATGACAACTAATTTTCGATTCCTGTCTGACTGATTTATCCACGGTGGAGTTGAAAACAACAGTTTCCATCATTCCGCGTTTCTCCACGTCGTCATCAAGCAAAGCCGTTGTTGTTATTTTGAATGTAGCGCCCTCTAGCGGCATCTAAATCTTAGGTATTGTAGCTTTAAAATCCGTGTCTGCCGCTCTCAGGCTACGTCGAGGGGTGTTTCTCGTAACACTGCAATGCATCTTTGGAGAAGTTAACAAGTCACTGTTTCAACATTATAGATCAGTCGTTAGACGTCACACAGATGGTGTAGTAATACCTAGTGGTCATTTTTCATAATGAATGGGTGAATTAATGAATAAATTAATGAAAATACATACATTTTCATGATAAAAATAAGCTAATTTATTATTATTATTATAATATCATTCATTATTATCATTCTGTGTTTTTGGAGGTTAGACCAAATGACATTTTACAACCTTGTCATGTCAAAAACTGGTCACATTATCCAACCCGATCTCACGGGAATTCGTACGAATTTTACGAGGTGGCTAATTCGTAACAATTTATACAACCTCACTCGTACGAATTAGTACGATTTTGCTAAATATTTTACGAATTGGCCAATTCATATGAATTCGTACAAATGACCCTAAACTTAACCATCACGTGGGTTTAGACAAATCGTAAGAATTCGTACGAGTGAGGTCGTATGAATTAGTACGAATTAGCCACTTTTTAATGGAAAAACAGGCATTCTTTTATTTTATTTTTTTCTAATTATATTGTTTATAATGAATTGATTGGGGATTGCGTTTAAGGTGTGTTTAATCCACTTACTGTAGTTATTGATTAGGAGCTGGATGATTTTGCCATGTCCGTGCAGAGAAGCCAGGTGGAGCGGTGTGTAGCCCTACAAACACACACACACACAAATACATAATATGCAAACTTTTAAGGCCTGAAATGTCCATTTGTATGCATCCTACACGCACTCAAATATCTAAATATCATTAGCTTGGGAGGACGGTAATATGACAGCACTTCTTGTTCTCCTGTTGTCTCTGTCACTCGATTGTGATAGGCTATTAAAAACAGCTGGACGCCATTTCACACACCACTGTGTGCAGTCGACGTTTCACATTTATGCAGTTAACCAGACAGCGAGACCTGCTGAGACAATCGCTACAGTACATCCCGCACATTAACACGGGACCAACCCTCTCTAGGATCCCGTCAGTCAGCCACCGCTGTTTCAAACTGCACTGGCCCAACAGCTGAAGCCCTGATGGGGTTTTCTTATGGTAGACGGTGGTACATGTAAGACAGTGTGCTTGTGAAGACGGCGTGAGAGGATGATGGATGTCTGAAATGTGACTGCAGTTTAGTGCTGATCTGAGCTCAAGCGGTGATTAGTGTGGATGACGGCACATTAACGCTCCACGGGGGAGTTTATCATCCAAAGACACTTCTGCAACCGGATGTTTCATGTTGACTCCATCTATCCCTGATATCTCTTTGGTGTCCGTTTGTTTTACACTCACAGCACTAATGGGCCGTGAGATTCGAGGGGAAAAAAGTGGCAAGAGCAATAATATTTGACAATAATGAACATTAACCAAACGCAAAAAATGGATAATAATTTAGGAAAATGTACATAACAGCATGAAATTTTATAAACTCACAAAGTAAATAAAAGTCCATCCGAAAAACTCAATACTTAATTAATTTGCTGCACATGTAAAAAAAAATGGATTACATGACAAGATAAGCAATCTTCTGTCATTATTTCATGTGTAAAAATATAAATTGCTTAGTGTATTTAAAAACCTCAACAAACATTTCTGTTATAAATAAAAGTACAAATTATTTATTTTTATTTTTTGTATTAATTATATATATATATATATATATATATATAGTATAGTTATAATTATAGTATAAATCACTATAATGAAGTATAATAAAAATACTTCATTCAAAACTGAAAAGTTTCAATAACGTTATATTTCCAGAATTTAATAAAAATGAAATGCTTTAATCGATAGTTTATATGCTGTATGTATTTTTATGCTTATTAGATATCGCATTGGCGTCATTTCAATCAAATAATCTGATTGAAATCTGATTTATGGGTCAATCAGACATCTTAATCAATCTAATTGAGCTCGATGTGAATAAAACTTTGATTGAAATGAGTGGTTTCAACATTAAATGAAAATGCCTGCCATGTAAATGCTTGAATCTATTTTCTCAATCAAATTCAGCAATATCTCAACATTCGCTGATCATTTGATTGGAATATGTGTAAAGGAAACGAATTTGTGAATCGGATTACGAGGATTAAAGATCATAAACAGAATTCAGAATCTGAAATCGGAATGGATTCATTCAGACTGATGTAGTGCATGTAAACACACCTATTAGCTTTAGCTTAGCAAGAAGCTAAACTTTACTGGAATGAACGAGTTGAGTCTCCCTTTAACTTCTTGCGAAGAGCACAATTTGTTTTGTTTACAAAATGAATTTCACTTCCAATTCCTGTGCTACTCGGAATGACTACAGCATTAAAGCACCATTACTTCCAAGGTTTGTAACTTAATCTCATACTATCTGCATTTTGAATGTTTAATAAAACCTATTTGTTGCCTAGATCGTTCCAAATCATTCACTTATGAGGTAGCCTATATGTAAAGTCCAGTCAGTGCTGGAACATAAGTTAAGGAGAGAAACATACCGATCTCACGGGAATTCGTAAGAATTTTACGAGGTGGCTGATTCGTAACATTTTTGCTAAATCATACATATTTTACAAATTGGCCAATTCGTATGAATTTGTACGAATGACCTACCCCTAACCCCGCCCCTAAACCTACCCATCACATGGGTTTAGACAAATCGTACGAATTCGTACGAGTGAGGTTGTATGAATTAGTACGAATTAGCCTCTTTTTAATCACTCGTACGAATTCGTACGAATTGGTCGTGAGATAGCATACCAGTTCTGAGACTGAATCATGGGTCGTTCTTAAAGGGATAGTTCACTTTGAAATTAATTTTTGATATGTTTTATCTTGCCTCAAGGGCATCCAAGATGTAGGTGTTTTTGTTTCCGCAGTATTTTCAATTTTGATATTTTTCAGTCAAACCGTTGTTGTCTATCAGTCCTACACTGGAGGCTAAGGGGGTCCACCAAAAAGCATGCACAGAGAAGTCAAAATTAAACATGATTCAATGACTCATAAATGTAAGTACACATTGATGGCCTAAGACACGAAACGAGCGGTTTGTGTGAGAAAACGAACAGTATTTATATCGTTTTTACCTCTTGTAATCATAGCCATGACAAAATGATCTGACGGCACGGGGCGCTTCGGTTTGCGCATGCGCCAGAAGTGATCGCTTGCACGCCGACGTCACTCTTTGTTTATACAGAGATTTCGGAAGTTTTACCTTTCACTAAACATATTTAGATATACGGGAAACCGCAATGGAAGACGATTTCGGTATATCTAAATGTGTTTAGTAGAAGGTAAAACTTCCAAAATCTCCGTGTAAATATTGAGTGACGTCACATGCAAGCGATCACTTCCGGCGTAACATTGAACTGATTCAGTTCGGTTCAGTTGAACATTTAACTGATTCAGATCACTTGGACGTCACTGTGATTACAAGAGGTAAAAACGATATAAATACTGTTCGTTTTCTCACACAAACCGCTCGTTTCGTGTCTTAGGCCATCAATGTGTACTTACATTTACGAGTCATTAAATCATGTTTAATTTGGACTTCTCTGTGCATGCTTTTTGGTGGACCCCCTTAGTCTTCAGTGCATCACTGATAGATAGTATGATAGTATGTCAAACAACAACGGTTTGACTGAAAAATGTCAAAATTTAAAATACTGTGGAAACAAAGACACCTATGTTTTTAGCTTACCTCAAGGGCATCCAAGACGTCTTGGATGCCCTTGAGGTAAGCTAAAAACATACCAAAAATTTATTTCAAAGTGAACTATCCCTTTAAAGTTAAGGGTAGCCTAAGTAAAGGGGTGTGAACATCGATCTATGCAAAAGTGTCAATATTTCATTTTTTTTTTCTTCAGGTGTAGCCTGAAATCAGTCCAGAATTGCTGTGTGTAGCATAGCGTAGCCATTTTGCTAAGAGCACAGTGCTATCTTCATGTAGTTCTGCTGCCCTTAAAGGTTAAAGTAGACTTCCCTCTGCTTCACTCCTCATTACTACACTAGTCCTAGCACTGACATTTTTTGGAAAGGTCACAGACACTTTCATGTGCTCTGTTTCACATCAGCTTGAGTATAAATAAAGGCCCTGGAGAGACTGTCCAGGGTGTCAGAGAAGCCAATGGAGATCAAGGTGAGACACTGGGAATGGTTTTAACGAGACTGACTGACAAAGCTATTAAACACAGAGCATGGATGTGTACCATCCAGACAACACACAATGTGTTCTAAGAACAGTTTGCTACTGTTCCTATTACGTTATGAACACGTTGTTTCTGAATGTTCTCTGGATGTTCAAACTTTATGGGAAAGTTACTTTTGAAACAAGTAGTCACACTTAAAACATGTTAAACGAACGTCTATCTAAAACATTTTAAGAAAAAAAAAAAAAAACGATATGATGATATGATAAATAATGTCTTTGTGCAAAAATTTTGACAACGTTATTAAAGACCAGATAATTTTGAACAAATATTTTAGTAACGTTATTGGAAGAATGTGAGAACATTTGTCAAAGTTCCTGTTAGCTGCTCAATTGTATTGAATGTGTACTTGTAGTTATTAATAGTTTAATATTAATTAAATAATCAAATGAAGAGTTCAGATGCAAAAGCCTCTAAATGCCATTTGAAATTTTCTTCTTTAATGATGATTTTTATCAAACTTGTATATTTAAGTTCAGTAATTTCACTTAAATGGCAATGATAATTACCTATTAATTGTTATTTAAGTGAAATTACTGAACTTAAATATACAAGTTTGATAAAAATGATCATTAAAGAAGAAAATTTCAAATGGCATTTAGAGGCTTTTGCATCTGAACTCTTCAAATGTACTTCAAGTGAGTCCACTTTCATGACTATGTTTCTAAACACACTCTTTGTGCACTTCATAATAATGTCAAATAAAACAAATATTAATTATATGTACAAATAATTTGTAAAGTACATTTCTTTTTTTACAAATACACTTATTTTGATGTTGAATAACATACTAAAGCACATAACGTATTTATGTAACGTAACATACTTGTAATTTTAACTGTAGTGTGTTATTCAATAATACATTTAAAGTACATATTAAATGTACTACATTGCAACTCCATCAAAACAAATGTTTAATTACAAATATATTTTAATAACAAGTTTCCATTTTCCAACCCTATTTCAAAGAAAATTTTGAGAAATTATGAAATTACATATAAAGACATACTGTATATACATTTTACATAAGTGGGTCCAAAAAAAAAAAAAAACAATGTTCAGCTGATTGTGTTTCATATCAATTTAAACTGTAACACATATTCATTTATTTGCAATTAACATATTATTTCTGTGATAAGCACTAGTATTTTAAAAAGTATGCTAACATGAATTTCTTTTTCACAAGGGACTGCTTTCCTTCTCTTAAATCCATATACAGTGTTCCACAGGCTACTTTACTTTACTACAGTATACAGTGCTATGCATACTAACAGTAACATCATGAATCACATTTTTAGATGCACTCTCAACTCTATTTTATTTCTACTATATGACTTCATGTTAACTTTTAATGTAAAAAAAAAGAAAGCTAATGAACTGAGGAGGTCTCCTAATTTGATCACAAATTGTTTTTTTATCCAGGAATGATTATGTGAGTACTGTATACTAAATCCTTTTATAACACTATGAATTTAATGCCAATGTGTATGTATATATAAAATGTCATTAAGGACATCTAAACAGTGTAAACAGTAATAGCAATGAGCTTCACGTAATGAAAAGATGAAAATGTTCATATTCAACAAATGCATTTCACCTCCAATACTCCCTGTGCTACTCGGAATGACTACAGCATTAAAGCACCATTACTTCCAAGGTTTGTAACTTAATCTCATACTATCTGCATTTTGAATGTTTAATGAAACCTATTTGTTCAATGCTCGGCGACGGCAAGGAAAAAGGGATTTGATCCTCAGTAGCGTGCCAGCTCTTAGCAGTCCCACAATCCTCTGATAAGTGGACAGCCAATGACTGCACTCAGAATCTAAAGCATATTTCTTCTAAATCCTGCTTCATTTCACAGGTGTATTGAAATCAAACTCACCCCCTGTAGAACGAATGAAGAAAGAAGGCTGTCATCAAGACCAGAGTGGGCTCCCATTTGCCAGAAAAAGCCAGAGAAGATTATAGAAACAGAATAAGCATAGAGTACATCGCACAAGATGGGTCAAGAACTTAATTTCACACTCCTGGGCAATTTGGCTTTGGGAGTATTTCCTTCATATGAAGAGCATAAATCTAAGTCTACGGCTCTGTTCCAAAACCCATTGAGCTGCCTACAACATTTTAAAGCATCATGGATTTACTTCTAAACACAATATTATGCTACCTTCTATGATATCATGTTTAGGCCAAATCTTATGGGAACACTGCATGTATTCTTCATGAGAAGGAAATCTCACAATCTGTTTTATGCTTATTAGAACTCGCGTTTTCTGAATATAAGTGAAACTGGATAAAATGAGGTGTACTTACATGCTAGAAACCCAGGTGACGGCATCGGAAATGCAAAAGAAAAAAAAGGAGACAGGCGACATTATACATCAACTTATTAAAATTAATTTAATTTTTTTTATATAAATGCATGAAACGATTGTCTCCAAAAAGAAAGTATTTATTATGAACTCCTGACATGAGTCGTCAATAATTCTAGTCTCACTTCCTGTTGCATACCTACATAGCAATGCATAATTTGCATAATGCAAGCCTATTTCATTGGCTGCTCGTGCACAACGTCTTTGACCCTCAAACACTGTGGTTGGCGCTGAGGCTTGGAAGAGTTTGGTTAATCCACTTTGCATGCATTTAAAAAGAATGAGAATTTGGCTTGAGTTGATACATTACAACTGACACCATCGTAACTGTTCATATCACTGTGTATCAAGAGACGAGGAAGATCCAGAGCTGAAATTCAGATATGATAATGGCCGTGATACTTACACACGCTCTAAGCGGTCGGGCAATCACAACAGACTGGGCCATCTGACCAATCACAACAGACTGGGCCATCTGACCTTAAGAGCAGAGTAGACCAATCAGAACAGACTAGGTCATCTAACCAATCAGAGAAGAGTAGACCAATCACAACAGACTGGATAATCTGACCAATTATTGCAGAGTAGACCAATCAGAACAGACTGGGTCATCTGACCAATCGGAGCAGAGTAGACCAATCAGAACAGACTGGATCATCTGACCAATCATAGCAGAGTAGACCAATCAGAACAGACTGGATCATCTGACCAATCAGAGCAGAGTAGACCAATCAGAACAGACAGGATCATCTGACCAATCAGAGCAGAGTAGACCAATCAGAACAGACTGGATCATCTGACCAATCAGAGCAGAGTAGACCAATCAGAACAGACTGGATCATCTGACCAATCAGAGCAGATTGGACCAATCACAACAGACTGGACCATCTGACCAATCAGAGCAGAGTAGACCAATCAGAACAGACTGGGTCATCTGACCAATCAGAGCAGAGTAGACCAATCAGAACAGACTGGGTCATCTAACCAATCAGAGCAGAGTAGACCAATCACAACAGACTGGGTCATCTAACAAATCAGAGCAGAGTAGACCAATCACAACAGACTTGGTCATCTAACCAATCAGAGCAGAGTAGACCAATCACAACAGAATGGATCATCTGACCATCAGAGCAGAGTAGACCAATCAGAACAGACTGGGTCATCTGACCAATCAGAGCAGAGTAGACCAATCACAACAGACTGGGTCATCTGACCAATCAGAGCAGATTGGACCAATCACAACAGACTGGACCATCTGACCAATCAGAGGAGAGTAGACCAATCAGAACAGACTGGACCATCTGACCAATCGGAGCAGAGTAGACCGATCAGAACAGACTGGATCATCTGACCAATCATAGCAGAGTAGACCAATCAGAACAGACTGGATCATCTGACCAATCAGAGCAGAGTAGACCAATCAGAACAGACTGGATCATCTGACCAATCAGAGCAGAGTAGACCAATCAGAACAGGCTGGATCATCTGACCAATCAGAGCAGATTGGACCAATCACAACAGACTGGACCATCTGACCAATCAGAGCAGAGTAGACCAATCAGAACAGACTGGGTCATCTGACCAATCAGAGCAGAGTAGACCAATCAGAACAGACTGGGTCATCTAACCAATCAGAGCAGAGTAGACCAATCACAACAGACTGGGTCATCTAACAAATCAGAGCAGAGTAGATCAATCACAACAGACTTGGTCATCTAACCAATCAGAGCAGAGTAGACCAATCACAACAGAATGGATCATCTGACCATCAGAGCAGAGTAGACCAATCAGAACAGACTGGGTCATCTGACCAATCGGAGCAGAGTTGACCAATCACAACAGACTGGATCATCTAACCAATCAGAGCAGAGTAGACCAATCACAACAGACTGGACCATCTGACCAATCAGAGCAGAGTAGACCAATCAGAACAGACTTGGTCATCTGACCAATCAGAGCAGAGTAGACCAATCACAACAGACTGGATCATCTGACCAATCAGAGCAGAGTAGACCAATCAGAACAGACTTGGTCATCTAACCAATCAGAGCAGAGTAGACCAATCACAACAGAATGGATCATCTGACTATCAGAGCAGAGTAGACCAATCAGAACAGACTGGGTCATCTGACCAATCAGAGCAGAGTAGACCAATCACAACAGACTGGATCATCTGAACATCAGAGCAGAGTAGACCAATCAGAACAGACTGGGTCATCTAACCAATCAGAGCAGAGTAGACCAATCACAATAGACTGGATCATCTGACCAATCGGAGCAGAGTAGACCAATCACAACAGACTGGAACATCTGAACAATCAGAGCAGAGTAGACCAATCACAATAGACTGGATCATCTGACCAATCGGAGCAGAGTAGACCAATCACAATAGACTGGATCATCTGACCAATCGGAGCAGAGTAGACCAATCACAATAGACTGGATCATCTGACCAATCGGAGCAGAGTAGACCAATCACAACAGACTGGATCATCTGACCAATCAGAGCAGAGTAGACCAATCACAACAGACTGGATCATCTGACCAATCAGAGCAGAGTAGACCGATCACAACAGACTGGGTCATCTAACCAATCAGAGCAGAGTAGACCAATCAGAACAGACTGGGTCATCTAACCAATCAGAGCAGAGTAGACCAATCACAACAGAATGGATCATCTGACCATCAGAGCAGAGTAGACCAATCAGAACAGACTGGGTCATCTGACCAATCAGAGCAGAGTAGACCAATCACAACAGACTGGACCATCTGACCAATCGGAGCAGAGTAGACCAATCACAACAGACTGGATCATCTGACCAATCAGAGCAGAGTAGACCAATCAGAACAGACTGGATCATCTGACCAATCAGAGCAGAGTAGACCAATCACAACAGACTGGACCATCTGACCAATCAGAGCAGAGTAGACCAATCACAACAGACTGGACCATCTGACCAATCAAAGCAGAGTGGACCAATCACAACAGACTGGGTCATCTAACCAATCAGAGCAGAGTAGACCAATCACAACAGAATAGATCATCTGACCATCAGAGCAGAGTAGACCAATCAGAACAGACTGGGTCATCTGACCAATCAGAGCAGAGTATACCAATCACAACAGACTGGATCATCTGACCATCAGAGCAGAGTAGACCAATCACAACAGACTGGATCATCTGAACATCAGAGCAGAGTAGACCAATCAGAACAGACTGGGTCATCTAACCAATCAGAGCAGAGTAGACCAATCACAATAGACTGGATCATCTGACCAATCGGAGCAGAGTAGACCAATCACAACAGACTGGAACATCTGAACAATCAGAGCAGAGTAGACCAATCACAATAGACTGGATCATCTGACCAATCGGAGCAGAGTAGACCAATCACAATAGACTGGATCATCTGACCAATCAGAGCAGAGTAGACCAATCACAATAGACTGGATCATCTGACCAATCGGAGCAGAGTAGACCAATCACAATAGACTGGATCATCTGACCAATCGGAGCAGAGTAGACCAATCACAACAGACTGGATCATCTGACCAATCAGAGCAGAGTAGACCGATCACAACAGACTGGATCATCTGACCAATCAGAGCAGAGTAGACCGATCACAACAGACTGGGTCATCTAACCAATCAGAGCAGAGTAGACCAATCAGAACAGACTGGGTCATCTAACCAATCAGAGCAGAGTAGACCAATCACAACAGAATGGATCATCTGACCATCAGAGCAGAGTAGACCAATCATAACAGACTGGACCATCTGACCAATCGGAGCAGAGTAGACCAATCACAACAGACTGGATCATCTGACCAATCAGAGCAGAGTAGACCAATCAGAACAGACTGGATCATCTGACCAATCAGAGCAGAGTAGACCAATCACAACAGACTGGACCATCTGACCAATCAGAGCAGAGTAGACCAATCACAACAGACTGGACCATCTGACCAATCAAAGCAGAGTGGACCAATCACAACAGACTGGATCATCTGACCATCAGAGCAGAGTAGACCAATCACAACAGACTGGGTCATCTAACCAATCAGAGCAGAGTAGACCAATCACAACAGACTGGGTCATCTAACCAATCAGAGCAGAGTAGACCAATCAGAACAGACTGGGTCATCTAACCAATCAGAGCAGAGTAGACCAATCACAACAGACTGGGTCATATGACCAATCAGAGAAGAGTAGACCAATCAGAACAGACTGGATCATCTGACCATCAGAGCAGAGTAGACCAATCAGAACAGACTGGGTCATCTAACCAATCAGAGCAGAGTAGACCAATCAGAACAGACTGGGTCATCTGACCAATCAGAGCAGAGTAGACCAATCACAACAGACTGGACCATCTGACCAATTAAAGCAGAGTAGACCAATCACAACAGAATAGATCATCTGACCATCAGAGCAGAGTAGACCAATCAGAACAGACTGGGTCATCTGACCAATCAGAGCAGAGTATACCAATCACAACAGACTGGACCATCTGACCAATCAGACCAGAGTAGACCAATCACAACAGACTGGGTCATCTAACAAATCAGAGCAGAGTAGACCAATCAGAACAGACTGGACAAGGCCATGTGAGCAATTATAATGCTGTAAATCAATCAATGGGGCCGACTGTTCAATCAGAGTAGAGACACTTTAGACACAAGAATTTTGTAATTAATTAATTTTCCGACTCTTTGAGAAATTATGTGATGAAACAAAGTATATTATGAGAAAATGAAAGTTTTTATTAACTTTTTTACCTTTGATGCACGTAAACCTGTTCAAAACAAAATTAGGTACCTTCAAAATAGCATAATACGGGCAATTTAACTTGTTTTAAACACACACAGACACACACACAAGAAGTCCATCAACGGAGGTGAAGGGAAAGTAAAACAGAAAGAAAGAGAAATCTCCGCCTCATGTGTTTGTGAATCACAGTGAGGCGTATCCAGACCCTGACGCTGTTCCATGGATTATTGATTTTTTCTTCCATTTCTGCCCAGAGGAGACTGCACTTGAAGAGCACCATTAGCCCCATAACGATTAGAGAGCAAAAGTTAATTATGTAATTATGAAGGCAATAAGAAGTGTGTGTGTGCTTGACTGTGCCTGTGAAGGCTTTAAACATTATCTTCAACGAGACGGAGGGAGGGGAGATTAAAGTAGTAAAAGAAAGAGAGAAAACATTAAGCAAACTCTTTCACTCCTCAGATTTTTTTTTCTTTAGCTTATTTTTCAATATTTCTCAATCTACTATAATAAACATGTTTTCGATTTCTGAATTGATATTTCGAATACAAATATCTAGTTGCTGTAATGGCAACAATGAAAAGCGTACAGTGAGAAAAAAGTAAAAAAAAAATACTTTATTTGAAATATTTACATATTTGAATAATTTTAACCTTAAAATAATAATAATAATTCATATTAATAATTAGGATGTGTACATTCACGTGTAATTAAAGTTTTATTATTGGCTACACGACAAGGTCCAGTTTTATAGTAATTACATCAAACCCATTGTTAAAAACGGTATAAATATCGTTTTTTCTTTATGTGTAAAAACCAACATGAATAAAAAGATCATATTTTAAGAGCTTAAAAGCTTTTTTTCACTGACCATACAAACATTCTTGTATCTCCACGTTTCCATAAACGGCCAATTTGCAAAGGGTTGAATTGGATTCTCTAAAGCGTACGGGATCTGAACTGAAATAACCTCCTCAGAGGGACCGTGATGCGGCGGCTGATAAAAATAGAGCTCCAAATAAAGGTTGGGGGTCGGGACGGGGGGCTGCCAGAGGCACAAAGATCCTGTCAGTATTGCACTTCTCCAACCCACAATGTGACGAGATAAGATACAGTGAATTATAATATGCATGAGCTGGGGGTGAGGCCAGAGCTTTCACTGCTGGACTGTTGGTATATCCAGAATAAATAAACATGAGGTCATGTTTATGCAGAGAGAGAGAGAGGGAGGGTATACATTCAACTTCAATTCTGAGCTGAGCAAACATCCTCTTAACCTTGCGTTTGATTAACAGAAGAAGCAGCAAACAGTCGACTAAAGCAGGAATACGTGTGTGGGCTCGTATAAAAGAGAAATATGGTTTAATGATACACAAACACACACATTAGAGCGCAAACCTGAGCGACTCATGAGAGCACAGAGCGCTGGCGTGAGAAGGTGTGTGTTGCGGTGTGTGTGGGCCCCTGCAGAGGTGTAAATGCGAGTGTGTCTGTAGGGACACCGGCTCCTGTCAGCTCTCACCGCTCTCTGGTTGACGTCCGCTCCGGAGCGCAGCATCATGTCCACCGTCTCCACGCGGCCCTGCTTGACCGCCCAGTGGAGCGCCGTCTGCAACACACACAGGCAAACACACCAGCTGTCAATCACCACGCTGCTGTCAATCACACACGTCCCACCTGGGCTTAATAAGACTCCTGTGCTACCGTAAGCTCTGAACTCACATGAGACGTGCATTTTTGTACGAAAAATAGTGACCTCTGACCTGACACATGACGTAGGATGTAGGAGCAGCGTAAGCTCATAGATATCCATAATAAAGGCTAGATGTCTCGTCCGTGCTGCTGGCCAATGGAGGTCGACGTCCGCACTGGCGGCCATCTTGTCACAGGCTCGCTCACTCACTCGTAACACTGTGTTTTAATGGTGCATACTTTTTAACCCCTTACCTGTCACTAGGGTTGGGTATCGTTTGAATTTGAACGATTCTGATTCCGATTTCTTGTTTCGATTCCGGTTCCCAACGATTCTCGATTCCGATTCTTTTAAGAAGGCAGGGTCAAAAAAGTTTAGCTAACCTTGCTAACCAACGGTCTTTCTGAAGGAAATACTCCTTCTGTCACAAATTTTGCATTTTGCCGAGATTTCGTTATTTTTAGAAAAGTGAAGCCACACTTTGGATCGCCGACGTAAGCTACTCATGTTCGACTCGGGCGGTTATGCCAACACTTCCGGTAGACGCTTCTTCGTTGGTGTTGTTCAGCGGTTTCTTCTTCCGCTCGGCGGACTGTGAATATCGAAACTAGGAATCGAAATTTTAACTTTTGAACGATTCCGGGAAAAATGAAAAGTTAGTCCCGGTTCCAATCGATACTCGATTCTCGATACCCAACCCTACCTGTCACCCCCCTTTTTGATAATTGACATTAAAATGCACTATACAAACTTAAATGGTTGTAATTCAGGCATGCTTTGGAATATATACGCAAGTTTGGTCTTGTTTTAAAGAAAACAATCAGCAGATTACTACTGAAGTGAAAGCACTTCAAAAAATTAAAGTATGAAAAAGTTATGGAAGTTATAATTCACAGTAAATCAAATTTATTAATATATATTTTTTAATATAAAAGAAATATTTTACCAAAAATGTTTACTATAAAATTACTATAAAATGAAAGCTATATATCTAACCAAGTTGTGTTCCAAATTTAAAGTTGATATCACAAATTTTGAAGTTCCCATGAGATTTTGTTTAGGCGTTATACCAAAAATAGCCACCGGGTGCCATTGAACTCCATTGAATTGAATTGTATGCATTCTGCCATAACAAATTAATAAATTTCTATCCAAATATCACTTCTGTCACTAAATATGTAACTTTGAGACTCAGACCTTTCTGACAATGTGTTTTGTCAAGATTAGAAAAGGTTTTGATAATAAATTATGAAAGATGATGCCCAAAAGGGGAGGGGCCTAATAAAAAAAATACCGTTTCTATGGTAACGCAACGTCCAATTTCAAAACGGTTTTCACAAGATGAATTCTGAGTTCGTAAGCTTTCAAATGATACCTAATTTATGATAACTACTAAAATATGTAAAAATAGATATAATATATAAATATAATATATTATACTTTTTAGAGGACATCTTACCTTACTTTTTAGGGCCCAAGCACTAACAGTGCGAGGACCCTATTGAAACTGTTAGGATTATTTTTTTATTTATTTATTTATTTTTTTCTGCAAAGCAAGTGCCATTTTCGGGGCCACAACATGCTCAAAAACTCACCAAATTTGGCACTCATGTCAGGACTGGTGAAAAATTTCGTATTTTGTGGGTTTCGCGGATGGGCAGGGCAAAATGGCTCGCTAGCGCCACCTAGAAAATTGGAAAAAATTAGCCCCTCGTCCACGTTCAACCTACATGCACGAAATTTGGTGGGGACGTGTATCCTTTGAAGACGCACAAAAAAGCCTCAAGAACCCATACCCTAAACTCGACAGGAAGTCCGCAATTTTGAATTCGGCGACCAAATTGGGACGATTTACACACTCCGTACTTTAACGAACTCCTCCTAGGGATTTAGTCGGATCGACTTCAAATTTCTGCTGTACCTTCTAAAGGCATTGACGATGTAAAGTTGTGCTATCTGCGCGTTTTCGTCGATGGGCGTGTCCGTGGCGTTGATGATTCGCCATGAAACAGGAAGTTGTAGTAACTTGGCTGTAAATGCCCAGATCTTCACGAAATTTGACACATTTGACAAGAGTCCCGCCCTGAACAAATCTACATGCCGACATTCACCCACAGTCATAGCGCCACCTGCTGGCAACAGGAAGTGACCTTTAACGAAGCAGCCCCCGACGCTTGTTTGACCGACATGTACGAAATTTCTGTGGTACATCTACTATGACCAGACGTACAAAAAAGCCTCAAGAATCCATACCCTAAACTCGACAGGAAGTCCGCCATTTTGAATTTGGCGACCGATTTGGGACGATTTACACACTCCATACTTTAACAAACTCCTCCTAGGGATTTTGTAGGATCAACTTCAAATTTCTGCTGTACCTTCTAAAGGCATTGACGATGTAAAGTTGTGCTATCTGCGTGTTTTTGTCGATGGGCGTGTCCGTGGCGTCGATGATTCGCCATGAAACAGGAAGTTGTAGTAACTTGGCTGTAAATGCCCAGATCTACACGAAATTTTACACATTTGACAAGAGTCCCGCCCTGAACAAATCTACTTGCCGACATTCACCCACAGTCATAGCGCCACCTAGTGGCAACAGGATATGTCCTTTAACGAAGCAGCCCCCGTCGCATGTTTGAGCGACATGTACGAAATTTATGTGGTACATCTACCATGTCCAGACGCACAAAAAAGTCTCTTGGAGCAATGCCCTAAACTCAACAGGAAGTCGGCCATTTCGAATTTTACCGCCATTTTTGGATGATTTACTAATTACGTACTTTAACTAACTCGTCCTAGGGATTTAGTCGGATCGACTTCAAATTTCTGCTGTGCCTTCTAAAGGCATTGACGATGTAAAGTTGTGCTCTCTGCACGTTTTCATCGATGGGCATGTCCGTGGCGTCGATGATTCGCCATGAAACAGGAAGTTGTAGTAACTTGGCTGTAAATGCCCAGATCTACACAAAATTTTACACATTTGACAAGAGTCCCGCCCTGAACAAATCTACATGCCGACATTCACCTAGAGTCATAGCGCCACCTGCTGGCAACAGGAAGTGACCTTTAATGAAGCAGCCCCCGCCGCACATTTTACCCACATGTAAGGAATATGCAACGCGGCCGCCTCACACCCCGACGCGCTACAGGTGCGAGGGCCCGCCCATCGCTGCTTGCATCTTTAATTAAAATATAATTTTATCTTTTTTTATTGACAAATACTAATTATGTTTTATTATGAACTTTTAGCACTAAAAACCAAAGTTTCAATTATTAAAAGTGTGTGCGTCGACTTTTTGTGTCAAAGGTCAGAAACTCCTGTAATGACGGTGATTTTTTTGAGGCGGACTCTTGTCATAAATTCATATATTACTGTTCATTCATAATGTGTAAGAAAGAAACAGCGCTAAAATATCAATTTAGGACTCTTAGACCTTTCCAACAATATATAGTTTGTCATGACTAGATTAGGATTTAATAGTAATATAGTGAAGTAAATTTAGATTGCCCGTATACAGGCAAGTGACAGTTAACTTGCTCAATTGTTTACCGATTTTCAAACAGTTTGGTTTGTTATAAACGTCAGAGATGTAGTTAGGACACTGCACACTTATGTGCAGTCAGTCATCCAGAATTATAGCCACGTTAAAAACGTTTGTAAGGAACCAAACCGTTTGTAAATCCACCAGGATTTCACAGAGATAAGAGTATTGTGTTTGGGCTGATCACTAGTCTTACATCAGGAACCACAGAGCCCACGAGAAAGCTTGCCTGTGACAAGATGGCCGCCGGTGATGACGATAGAGACTCTGCCGTAAGACATCTAGCCTTTATTATCGATATCTATGCGTACGCTTAGTGAGAGTTGCCTTCTCTCGCGGTTCAAAATCAAGCTCCTCCCACATTTCTTTTTAAACATTCATGACCAGTGTTTTGTTTTGTCTTTCCTCTAAGATTCTGTGTTCGTCATTATGTCATTGGGTTGGGTCAAGGGTCACTCTTCCAATGGGAACTAGACTCGCATTCGGCATGTGATTGATTGTAACATGTCCTGTTCATGGTTTGTTTACGTGTCTTGTTGTTTACAATCACACCGCACCGGAGTTCATTGGAAGCGGACTAAGACTCATCTTTTCAGGATGGCAGGGTTCACAATCTGGCTGCGTTCACACTTGGCGTGTTTGGTTTGATTAAAGCGAACTCTGCTGCGATTGCTCTGTTAAAAAATTAAACACTCTTAAACCAAATTAGCTTGAGTTTGGTTTTTGTGAACCAAACTACAAGTGTGAACACAACGTTACACGGTTTGGAAAATAGATTCATGATGTACTCCTTATTATGTAAATAAATGTTAAAAATTTCGAATGAAAATAAAAATAAATAAATGTTTACTTTAAAAAAAACTTTTGCTGATAAATTTACTCACCCCCATGTCATCCAAGATGTCCACGTCTTTCTTTCTTCCTTTCTTTCTTTCTAAGGTTTTTGATGAAAACATTCCAGGATTTTCACCATATAATGGACTTCAATGGGAACCAAAGGTCCAAAAGACAGTTTCAGTGCAAACTGTTCAAAGGGCTTTAAACGATTCCAGATGATGAATAAGGGTCTTGTCAAGCGAAACGATCGCTCATTTAAAAAAAACAACAAATTTTAAGTTTCATAAGCTCAAATGGTCATCTTGCTCTGTTCTGTGATGCGCGTTCGTGACTCTCCAGTTCGAAATCGTTTATCAAAATAAACAAATCTTTTTTCCGAGTCAATTCGTTCATGTCGTTTGTTGAATGAACCAAATGACTCGAAAAAAGATTTGTTCATTTTGACAAATGAGTTCGAACAGGAGAGTCACGAACGCGCATCACAGAACCTCAAATTTGTCCAATCGTTTTGCGTCTGTTGTCGTTTAAAGCCCTTTG